TTACTGCTTTCACTAGTGGGTGATGGAGCATGTGCATCACCTGATCTTTCAATCTATTTAATTTTTTGTACTTGGCGAGCCTTGACTACATCAAATTCATGTCTGAAGGATTTATCCAGGTCATTTTGGATCCTTCTCTGGCCTTCTTCACTAGAAGAATTCTCTTGAAGAAATCCTCGGGAGATATGAGCTTGTAGTCTCTGTTTTATCCAACAATTGTACTGGATTCTCTCTCAGACAAGGGCGTGTCCCGCTTTTCTCTGCGACCAGACGGGCTCGCCTTGAATTGACGGGAACTCTTGGTGCCAAGCCTGAAGGGATTAGTTGTAGGTCTCTGCATCGGTGTAGGAATGTCAGATGGTTCGATATTCGTGCCAGGTTCTGGTAGGATTTTTCAATTTGTCTCCATATTTTGGGTGTGTCGGTCCGTACCAATCCTTCAGGATCTGTCCATATTTCTGAGATGAGGTATTATGTACACTATTTACATTATTCGGACTATTGTCCTCATCTTTGTCGCCATATTTATTACAACGTTTCGGCCGTTGTACCCTCCGGCCTTCTTCAGGTGGTTGGAATGTCAAACTGAACCCTTTATAAAGAAGAAGGCCGGAGCATACAACGGCCGAAACGTTGTAATAAATATGGCGACAAATGTAAATAGTGTACATAATACCTCATCTCAGAAATATAGACAGATACTGAAAGGCCGAAACGTTGTAATAAATATGGCGGCAAAGATGAGGACAACAGTCCGGATAATGTAAATAGTGTACATAATACCTCATCTCAGAAATATAGACATATAAAGAGTTCTTAGCATTTATTATTATTTTTAGCATAATATTATAATTGTTTTTTTAAATATATAATCATCGCAACACCGCAATTCCCATGTTTCAAAAGTGAAACATCAACTCAAAGTCAATCATAAAAATTAAACTTAAAATATAAAGTACCGTTCTATTATAAAGCGATAGTAAGAATAACTTTTTTGGAAGTTGATTTACTAATTTATAATTAGAAATATTATATAATTTACAATTTAATTTTATATTTAAAATGCATTACTTCTTTATATAGAAGACAGGGAGTCTTTAGTGGTAGCACTGAAAGTTGAATCTATCTATCTATCTATCTATCTATCTATCTATCTCTGTTAATATCTGTCTACATATCTATCCAACCTTGCTCATATCCACCTATCTGCCTTAGTTTGTTCGTATCTATCTATCTATCTATCTATCTATCTATCTCTCTCTCTCTCTCTCTCTATATATATATATATATATATATATATATATATATGTAATTCATTTGTTTATTCATTCAAAAGATTTTTTTTACGTAAACGTAATTTTTACTCGATAGCTATAATTGAGTAGACGCAATGTTTATATGTTAAACAGAAAGTTCTCAGTTTAAAAGTTACATTCACAAATAAGGACAATTATTATGATTTCAAAGATTTTAATAAATTGAACAGGAGCAAGTATTTTGAGTATTTTTCACAATGTTTTGATTTTCAACGAGACTTCACCTGCAACAAGATTTGCTCGAAACGAGTGAATAACAGCGGGTGAAATCCGCAGTTTAATATATTTCCGTCCTTTTAAATGATTTGAAACATTCGAATCTTAAAAGAATAAAAAAGAAAACAAATCCTCGTTTCAAAGAGTGCAGATAACTGAGGCGTGCCTACGCAAATAATCCTTTGAAGGAAACGAGTGTCACGATCGCTGTTCAATCTAATGGATCGAAGGGTCGTTTGTATTTCGGAATTGGCTGTGTTCATGCTTCCAATGTATGCAATCGGGGTTCGATTTCAAGGTAAAGCCAAGATGGCGTTTCTTGACTTTCGAGTGTCGTCGGCTTTCGTAAGTTAACAAGTCGTGTGTGACACAGATTTCTTTCAGGGAAAAATAGTCTTTTGTAGAATCTTTCATTTTTTTTTTAATTAATCTCCTTCTCTTCCGATCTATCTATTAGGTTGGTGCGAAAATAATGACGTAATAATGTCGTTTTTTGACTTTAAAAAATACGTCAAAAAAACGACATTATTGCGTCATTATTTTTGCACCAACCTAATATCTATCTATCTATCTATCTATCTATCTATCTATCACAGTCTAAACATTATCTATCTATCTATCTATCTATCTATCTATCACAGTCTAAACATTATCTATCTATCTATCTATGTCTGAAGCATATCTGTCCATTTATAAATACATATATATCCAACTGTATCTATCAACTTTCATCTCTGTTCATATCTAAATACATGCATGTATGTATGTATCTATCTCTGTCAGTTCATGCTTATCACAAACTGTTGATTACCTCCCTACCTACCTACCTACTTACCTACCTACCTACCTACCTATCTATCTATCTATCTATCTATCTATCTATCTCATTCTATTAAGATCTATCTATTTGTATATACATATATATCCAACTATATATTTATCTGTTTTCATATCTGTTCATATCAATGTATGTATGTACGTATGTATCTATCTATCTATAATTCTTTTTTATTCATATCTATCTATGTATCTATTTCATTCTGTTCATATCTATCCATTGCATATACATATATATCCAATTATATAAGTTTTTTCATCTCTGTTCATACCTATCTATCTATCTATCTATCTATCTATCTATCTGTACATAAATATATATATATATATATATATATATATATATATATATATATATATATATATATATATTACGATAAACGTGCAATCAATTTACAAATTCATGAATTATTCACACAAAAACTAATGCAAAGGTTAATGATTTAATTGGCGAGAAATCCATCGTCGCAAACAATTCAAATAATATACAAAAAACCTACGAATCCGTTATGAATGAAATGATCCTTGTTTCTATAAATTTCTGCCGTATTAGTTCTTATTTTTACTACAAGCTTTCGTCTGTTCCTACAGACATCTTCAGGTATAGAATAGATGTTGTTCTTTTTTTTTTTCTCTTAGTAATAAGAGGACAACGAAAAATATATGTATTGTTGTATCCGAAAATGCTATTGAAAATGAGTTATTGTTTTTGGAGCGCGCAGTAGCAACGCTAAGTTTGATTTTAAATTTTTTAAAAGTTTGCGTTCATATACAAATATGGTGATGAACGAATTTTTTAATGGTAAATTTTCTGTCAAAGTGGCATGAACTATATTGTTCAATAATTACAGTAATGTCGCACTTATTATCCAAAAGTCGCACTTGGATCAGTTATTTAAATTACGATAAACGTGCAATCAATTTACAAATTCATGAATTATTCACACAAAAACTAATGCAAAGGTTAATGATTTAATTGGCGAGAAATCCATCGTCGCAAACAATTCAAATAATATACAAAAATTCATAACGGATTCGGAGGTTTTTGTACATTATTTGAATTGTTTCTGTTCATATGTATCCATTGTATATACATATATATCCAATTATATAACATTTTTCATCTCTCTCTCTCTCTCTCTCTCTCTCTCTCTATATATATATATATATATATATATATATATATATATATTATTCGTTTTTTGTTCATATATATCTATCTATCTCATTCTGTTCATATATATTTATATATAACTATACATTGCGTCGAATCATTGGGCCGTATATTTATAAAATTGAACGTCCATTTTCGTAATAGGCTTCAATAACTCTACGAAAGTGATTCGTTGCTCCTTCCTTCTATGGCTAACGTTCTCAGTTGACATGATGCGAAAAGATTATATTGAATCCATTCATAGGTCATAGGTAAAAAGATTGTTTCACTGTGTCGTGCTAGACAATCTTTCTCTCCAGATTCTATCTTACATATCCATAAGTCTACCATTCGTCCATGCTTAGAATATTGCTGTCACATATGAGCCGGTTCCCCTGTCATCCTTTATAAGATCCAAAAAGAATCAGCAATATTATTGGTGATGATCTGGCAGTTCGGCTTCAGTCGCATTTCCCACTGCCGTAAGTCTCTGTGTCTTTTCTACAAATACTTTCATAGTAATTGTTCGGGTGAGCTCTTCGCTTTGGTACCTAAATTTTTTTAATTTAAATTCAGTATTAGAGTGGTGTTGAGATCTCATTAATTAACAGTTGAGCTGGCGAGATGTAACCGCAAGTTCTCTATGCTGACAGTTTCATTTCTCGCACTTCTTGCTTGTGGAATTCACTTCCAGCACCATGCTTTCCAACCAAGTTCAAAAATTTAAATACAATATCAATCGCTATCTACTGTCCTCCTGATTACTCTTTTCTACTTCCACTCATTATTAATGTTTCTATTCCTAAATCTTCCACTCCCTGTAACCCGTTGTGTCTTAGTGGCATTATTGCCTTGATGGGCTGATACCGATTAAAAAAACTATCTATCTATCTATCTATCTATCTATCTATCTATCTATCTATCTATCTAAAACAATCACTTTATTTCTATCAATATCTCTCGCCACATCAGTATTACGCCATCTCTCTGTATATGCACAAATTAATTGGCCCAATCAGGAATGTCTCTCTCTACAATTCATTTTGCGTTTCTTTATACTCATTGGATTACATTTCATTTTCCATCCCATAAACGTTCAATTGAATCACACACAACATTTCAGCACGCTATGCCCGGAAGGTTTGTGATAACATAAAATTTGTTGGCATCACAATGGCGACTTGGTGGAGGTCACGTTCCCGTGTGACCAGGGGAGATAATTAAATACAGACATTTGCCGACAATTTGTTTTACTTCACGTTTGTTTTTCGATTAAAGATTTTCAAGACAAAAAAATCTCACGGAGAAGAAGAAGAAGAAGAAGAAGAAGAAGAAGAAAAAAGGAAGAAGAAGAAGAAGAAGAAGAAGAAGAAGAAGAAGAAGAAGAAGAGATATTTTGATATACACGTCAATCAACAAAGCACAAACATATATATAAATAATGAGTATATTTTGGCAGCATATTTTCATTAAAACATGTCTCACTGAATATTTTAGACAAGATTTGTCTACATATTTTCAAAAGGATCCTCTCATATTCTCGGACAACCTTCTTAGTATCATTATCAAAGGAAGAGAGAAAATTACTATGTTGATACATATTCATTTAAAAGAAAACATACGGACATTTCAAATCTTAGTTACCTCACCTAATTTTTATATTGTGAAAGTTAATTCGTACAGTACATAACCTTCGCGTTTTTCAGTTAACAGTTAAAAAAGTTTAATTTTCAGATGAACATAGTAATTTTGTAATAGAAAATAAAACAAAATCCTGATGTTGACATTGAGCGAATGTTGAAAGTACTCCGAATAAATGAATATGCATAAGATGGACTCTGACGAGAAAAAATCTTCCTGCACGATACAATAAACAAAATCTCCTTGCAATAGATGCAGCTATAGATAGATAGATAGATAGATTGGTAGGTAGGTATAAACCAAATCTCCTTGCAATAGATGCAGCTATTGATGCAATGTAGTTGATCCACTTCAAGTCAGTCGAAAACGTGAGGCCAAGAAAGCGCATTTAGACGCTCTCCAGGAATCGAGCATCAGCGATGCTGATGACGGGTGGGGATTTTTAAAAAATTAGCGCAGTTTAGTGTTGGAGGCAATTAAATTTACAAGCCATTTCTTTCCCCAGTTGACCACTGATTGGAGATCCTTTTCGCCAGCAGTGGCCAGGTTAATTTTATCAGCTCTGACGGATTTGCTATTGAGACAGGAGTAAATGTCATCTGTGTAAATACCCACTTGGGAATTGAGGACATCAAGAAGATTATTGAAGAAGACCAGAAACAACGAGGACCCAAGATAGAGCCTTGGGGACAACCACTGTTCGTACGAAAGGTTCTGGAAGTGAACCTGTTTAGAATTACCTTCATTTCGCGATTTGATAGGAGTAATTGGATAAAAAAATAAAATAAAAAATAATTGGATAAAAAGATAAAAAATATGAACGGGGTTCAAGACGACAGAAGATGGCGATTGACATTGCTTTTAAATTTTTGAAGACGGTAGTTCTAGTTCTCAGGGATGCAAGTAAGAGGAAGGAAGTTCGACTATCGGGAAGTGCGAGAAAAGAAACTGTTGGAGTAGAAGTGGCGGTTGCATTTAACTATTTCAACGGTAAAAGGGTGGGACCTAGATGCCAATCTAGTAGCATGCTTTAATTCATATAGTCGGAGCACTAGGAAAAAAAAAACCTCGGCAGAGCAGTTGTCATGAAAATATTTGTAGAATAGACAGAGGGAAGCCACACCAAGTCTGTGAGAAAATGACTGAAATCGAGATGCCAAGTCAGGATGAATTACATTGCAGATCATTCTTTGGATTTTATCAAGGACGTCGAGTTGAATAGCAGGAGCACCAGACCAGATATGGCAACAGTATTTAATGCACAGCCGAACTGCAGATTTATAAATGTGCAAGATGGACTCTGACGAGAAAAAAAAAATCTGGCATGACACCATGACCCAACTTTCCTTGCAGTAGATGCATCTATTGATTCAATGTAGTTGTTCCAGTTGAAAACGTGAGGCCAAGAAGGCACAATGACACACTCCCCAGGAGTCGTGCATCAGTCAGGGAAATTTCTCTATGATGGCTAAATAAGAGCAGTTTATTTTTTGGAGGTATTAAAATTTACAATCCATTTCTTTTTCCAGCTAACCACTGATTGGAGGTCCTTTTCGACAACAGCGGCCAGGTTAACTTTGTCAGCTTAGACGGATTTGCTATTGAGACAGGAGTTAATGATGGCGTAATCTGCATAGATGTCTACTTGGGACATCATAAATATCATTGATGAAGATCAGAAACAGTATCGTACTCAGAATAGAGCCTTGGGGGACACCCCCATTCGTGTGAAAAAATCTGGAAGCGAGCCCGTTCAGAACGACCTTCATTTCACGATTTAACATGAATAATTGGTTTGGTTTGGTTTGTTTTACGGCATATCAACCTCAATGCGTTATTTAATGACGACAAAATTTTTATTGCTGGTAATATTTTATTTTGACAAAAATCTATTTCTGATAATATTTTTTCCTTTTTGGTGGTAATAATTTTTTTTTCCAAAAAAGTATTACTGGTAATGTTTTTGTTTTTTTTCAAAAATGTATTGCTTGTAAAAAATTTTTTCTTCAAAAATATATTGCTGGTAATAATTTTTTTACAAAGTATTTCTGGTATTAAAACCTATTTTACACTTTCTTAGTGTTTTTACGTCAGTTTCGTGGTTAACTATTTGCCCATAGCTGGGGCCCTAACAGGTGCTACCACCCCGGGTCAGGGCGGACCTGGGAACATCAGCAATTAAGAGGTGGTTCCACGCTCCTTAAAACCTTCTGATCAGAGGCCTTGCTGCTGGACGTAGTTTATCGTCTTACCCAGAACGCGGATGTAGTTTATCCTCATACCCAGGACGATACATTTTTGAAAAACAAATATTACCAGCTATACAGTTATGAAAAAAACAAACATTATCAGCAATACATTTTTTTCAAAATATATTACCAACGAAGGAAACTTAAATAATCCATTGATGTTGGCGAACATGGCACTCCACAATTTCCTGTCTTTTGTCGCTCTATCTCTGTCTGTTAAAATCTATCTCTCTAATTTTCTGTCTGTCTCAGTACTATTCATATCTATTTATCTATTAGTCTGTTCATATTTTAAAAATATCACATTATTGTTCATCTCTATCTACCTATCAATGTCTTTTTATATCTATCTCAGTCTTTTCATATCTATCTATCTACCTATCTATCTCAGTCTCTTGATACCATCTATCTATATACTTGACTGTTGTTTGGTTTATTGTTTCATTCAATTTTTATTTCTGTCTGATTATTTGATTGTTGTATATTCTTATCTCTAGCCCACCATCAATTCTGTTTATATCTATCTATCTATCTATCTATCTATCTATCTATCTATCTATCATACCCAGGGCGCCAGGAATAATTGGATTAAATCAAATAATCGTCCGGTAATACCGTATCCCCGATGATTACGTCGAAGACCAGTTAGCCAAACCCCGTCAAGCGCCTTCGAGATATCTAGTGCTACAGTTCGACCTTCGCCTTTATTGTTTGTCGGGGAGTAGGTCATGAGAGGCAAGATGATACAGCACTTCAGCATTGATTAAAGCCTCGAATACTTTGCCGAAAAGCGGTAGGAGACTGACAGGGTGATAGAGGAGCCAGAATGTTCTCTAGAGATCTTAGAGACAAGGACTACAGATAAGAACGCCCAATAAAATGGACATACCTCTCCTTAGAAAAGAATCTAATGTCCACATGCATGGCCTGGGAGTTTATGTCGACGAAGATCACTCACTGGCTAGGGGACTTTCTCTTGAATCTCCAGACCATTCTTACATGTGTCTCTGTCTCTCTCTACTTGGTTTGGTTTGGTTTGTTTTATGGCATCTTATCTATCTGTTCTTTCTCTACCGTTCCCCTTCCTCTCAAGACTGTTGCGTACTAGATAGTATTTCTGATAAGCTAGACAAGTCCATCTCTCTGCACCCGTTTGCCAATATGTTCGTGTTCGGTGACTTTAATGTCCACCATATCAGGTGGCTTAAACACTGCCACTGACCTCGATGGCATCCAAACCTTTACCTTTTTAATTACTCAATCTCTCATGCAAGTGGCTGACTTCCACATGCGTTTTCCCAGTAACTCTGACGGAAGCGCTTTCCTTTTTTCTACCTCCATTCCCGACTCTTGTCGTAGTACGCAGCTCTGCCATCTTGGCAACTCTGGTCATCCGGTAGTGTCTGTCTGTAAACCTTTCCTTCCGCTCTCTCACTCGCTAAAAACCACCTGGCAACAGAATATCTTTCTGTTATTAACGAGCAGTTTGGCATTCGTTCCGTGATTTCCCTCGTAACGTACCTTAGAATGATGTTTTAATCATCCGGTTTAAAAATGTGCGTCTGGGGTCTCTTACTGGGTGATAGCCGGTATCGATGCTTTCCTTCCAACAAGGAAATCGCAAGTTAAACCGCGTTCATCCCCTTGGTTCTTAACTGCATGCTCGACCGCTATAGCCCATAGGAATCACTTCTTCCGTCTGTACCAGAACGACAGGTTTGATTACAACAGACGTCTCTTTGTCTCTGCTTGTTACCATTGATTTCTGATAGAATGAAACAATATATAGCATTTCATAAGTTCGGTTCTACAGATTCTTCAAGATCGTGCTGTATATGGGTGGTGTTGTGTCTATAAATACGCGTTTGTATAGACACAACACCACCCATATACATACATATGTCAAATCCCAAACTGTCCACATATGTTTATATATGTATGAGTCCCGACGGACGAGAGAGTGTGTATGTGTGTCTGCGTACCTCATCGGGTGTACAGACATGCATCTATGTTTGCGTTAGCACGATGACATCACGACGACGATTCCCCTCACTCCCATAATAACACCAATACACGCAATCTACATAAACCCAAAATTTTAAAAAAATTAATCAGTTTGTCTGACGATCGCAAAAGCGTGAAACCCAGGGTCACAAACTCACAACAATCCAACCAAATATGTTAGCTCTATCTCTGATATTGAGTGCTTTCTAATAAGTACCGCGCATATAATATATAAATAATAATAATAATAATATATATATATATATATATTTATATACACACACTTTTCACTTATATATATATATATATAGATAAATATATATACACACATATATGTATATATATATATATATATATATATGCATATAGATAGATATATACATATAGATAGATAAATAGAGAGAGAGAGAGAGAGAGTTAATTTTATATATACACAGAAAGATTAAAAATCTTTCAGCCTGAATAATTCAAATTTTTATCCGTTGGTCTGGTTGAGGCGCATCCTACTGTCTCTCTCTCTCTCCTCTCTCTCTCTCTCTATATATATATATATATATATATATATATATACATACATACATATATATCTATATATATATATATATATATATATATATATATATATATATATATATATATATATATAAATTCTCAGAATTAATCTGTAAGAAAAAACTATGTAACATACACTATGTAACACCTATCTCATTTAAACAAGATCCAAATAATGAAAAACGCTTCCAAAACTATTATGGATATAATCAGATCTACAAATATCCATAAAAATAATATAACTGAAGCAGACATATTATGAAATAAATTGCTAAAACTGTTCCTCACAATACATTAGAGAAACATGCAGAAATTTACAAAAACGTATCTATGGGCACAAATGTGACTTCATAAATAACAATTTCACATATGCACTGGTCATGCATAGAAATAAAGTCAACAAAAATTTTGATTTAAAAAATGCTACTTTTAAAAAAGAAAGTAAAAAAGAAAGAAAAATCCTCGCGAATGTCGCCATTGAATATTATTCAAATATTAATCTACGCCCCGGTTTTTTCCCAATCTCACCTTTCCTAACAGAATCACTACTTTCCCAAGCAAACGTACACAACAAATATATCAAAAAAAAAAAAAAAAGAAAAAAAAAGAAAATGGTTGAATCTATTAACACAACAATACAAACAATATTTCTACATGTGAAAATATTCTCTTGAAACATAAAAAGTATATGACGTAATTTTTCAGTTGCCCAAATAAATATAAAATAGCGTTTCTAAATTCTTGTAGTTAGTAATGAATTTTTTTTTTGTTTATAGATACTTTCTTTCAATGAATTCATTCCGTTTTTTGACTTGAAAAGTCAACATTGGATGAAACGCACCGGCTAAAAATACAGTTTTCATATTGTGTTTTTTCCTTTTTACAGACAAAAACACACACACACACACACACACACACACACACACACACAATGTATATATGCATATTTCTCCACTATCTCTTTCTTTCTCTCTTAATCTGTCTTTCTCTCTCTTTCTCTCTATCTCTCTCTCTCTATATATATATATATGTTCCTCTCCACTAAATATATATATATATGTATATCTGTTCACTCTCTTTCTCTCTGTCTCTGTCTCTCTCTCTCTCTCTCTCTATATATATATATATATATATATATATATACTCGACTCTCCCATCGAATTCGATGTATGAGGCTCAAGCAGATCAGTTCCTAGGAAACCGACAGCCCGACACCGGCACATGAGATTTGATTATAGGGGTGAAAGTTTCGTGCATATTTCCGCATCCTTTCTTTTTATGGATTTTTGGATGTGCCCGTAACAATTATAAGGATTTTATTTTACTTTTGGGTATGGAAATGAAATGAAATGGCAGCAAAAACAAACAAGCAAGCCGATTTCTTTGAACTTGTCTTTCCGATTATTTCCCTAGATTTGAAAAACCAGACCCATTCGAGAAGGAGTAAGGTTTATCTAGTTATCACGACACCAATCCTTTTTTATATATTGGAGACTGCATAATAATCAAAATAATCAAGAGCTGCATCTACTGCAAGGAAAGTCGTTTCACTGTGCCGTGCTAAAAGTCAGAGTCCATCATACGCATCTACAAATCTAGCACTTGTCCATGCATTGAATATAGTTGCCACATCTGGTCTGGTGCTCCTGCTGTTCGTCTTGAAGTTCTCGATAAAATCAAAAGAAGGATTTGCAATATAATCGATCCTGACTTGTCGTCTCGACATCAGTCACTTTCTCATAGACGTGATATGGCTTCCCTCTGTCTTTTCTACGAATATTTTAATGGCAGCTCCTCTGGCGAGCTGTCTTCCCTGATGCTTTGACTACATGAATTTAAGCGTGCTACTAGATTGGCATCTAGTTTCCGCTTTTATATAGTTGAAATATTTAAATACAACCATCACTTCTACATCAGCAGTTCCTTTTCTCGCACTTCCCGTCAGTAGAGATCCCTCCTCTTACTTGCTTCCCTGATAACTACAATCTTCAAAAATTTAAATGTAGCGTCAATCGTCTTCTGATGCTTTGACCTCGGTTCTTCATTTATCCAATCCTCTATCTTTTCTAGTCTTTTCTCTCACTTTCACTCTCTGTGACCCCCTGAATGCTAGTGGCATCCCCGCTTTGCTTGGAATGAAATGCTTAAAAAAAAAAAGGAAAAAAGAAGATAAAAAAAGACATTTTTTATATTAAAAGACTGGATTAAGGTTATGGTCAGTATTATGATATAAAAAAAATGGATGACTTTTCAATTCGAACATTTGAGGCACAAAATGATTGATGTTCAAAGACATTTGCTGACATGACAAAATATTCACTGATAAAGACTCCTGTTTTTTTTTCTCCTTTCTTTACGTATCTCTCTGTCTACTCTTCCGTGTGTCTATACCTGCGTGAATGGCAGCCATATTTTTCATTCCAACTTGTTCTGACCAAAAACATCCCATATATATATATATATATATATATATATATATATGAAGAAAAATATATACGGAAAAAACAAACAAAACTAAAGCAGATCATAATTTCGATTTTGATTCCGTGAAGATTTTAAAATATTTTCATCATAAAAATCTTAGGCGGATTTATGAAGCAGGCATAATATCCATCTCACGCACGGTGAATACTAGACCTGGATTCTTTCATATTTCCCCTTTTCTAGCGAGATTAATGCTCGACAAGCGTACATATAAATTTTAGTTCAAAATAGAATTCTTTTCATTTTTCATTCAAAATACTCAAAATTGTAGGAATACGTTTTCACAGCGTCGCCCACGTGACGACAACGTGACCATGTTTTAAACGGGGCGCTGATCTTATAAAACTTTCAGTTATTTGTTTGGATAAGTCTTGTTCTTATGTACATCGTTTTTGTCATGTTGTATTGATAATGTTATAATTTATGAATATGTCCTGAAGATGGTTTATTAGACCGAAACGTCCGACGTTGACATATTAACATTAAAACAGCATAATTGCATATAAGGATTTTTTGTTTTGTTTTTTCCGCATATATTTTTTC